TAATTAAAGAAATTAAAGAATAAAGGTACTTACTTGTCCCAATTGATCTCCGTCTGACCAAACGTCCGTAATTGAGAACTCGAAGCTTCCATTGTAAAATCAAACTAAAACAATTTGAAACAAAAAAAAAAAAATCCCTAAAATTAATTCTTTTAATAATCCATTTTTTCCTTCAATAAAACAGCAAAACAGAAATGTTATGAAATTTTGGGTTTTTTCCTCTCTAAAGTTCCCGCATTTCAGTGAGCGAAAATAATTCTCTTTTAAAAATGTTAATTAAATTAATAAAAAAGGAAAAAAAAATTTATGAATTTGTTTTCACGGCTTGGAAAGTTGTTGACTGGAAGTTTTCTGTTCCTTACTTATTTTAGAATTATACAATTTGAGGGCGCTTTTTCATTGGAAACCATAGTAGCGGCAAAAGCTGTCTTATTTTGAGAATTTGTCCAAATAACGTAGAAAATAATCCCATCATTTATTCAAAATTAAAACCGTGCGATAGCTAATAAATCATCTACAAAATTAGAATTAGTCAAAGAGAGGGGACTATTATTTTTTTTTATTAACTGTTTGCACGCCCATTCTTCAAATAAAAATAAAATAAATAAAACCAATTATCTTTTAATTAATTGATATATCATTAAATTTGATATTTAAAAATTACGAGTTTAAAAAAATTTAAGTTCATAATATCTTTCAACTAAGTATGTAATTAGATAAAGGGTTTAAATGTAGATTAAAACTTTTTAAATAAATAAATAAATTAATTAATTAATTAATTTAAATTTAAGAATTTATATTTGATACACTGATAATAAATCAATTGTTCTTTATATACTGATAGTGAATCAAATGACGATAACACACTGATAGTGAATCAATTATCCTTTATACATTGATAATAAATAAAATAAAAATAACTCATTAATAAATTGAATCAAATAATAATACTTCATTTATAAGTAAATTATTTTAATTTATATATATTTATTTTAAGAATTACTATTTGCTTATTAATAAGCTGTCACCATTTGATTCACTAATTATATATAAAATTTATATAATAATATTGTATCAAATATAAACTTCAAACTTAATTTACTTAATTTAAATTATTTTTATAATTATATTTAAAAAATAACATTCACTGTAATTTAAAAATAAAAAATAATTACAAATGTTGTATTGAATGTTATTGCTTAAATTGATATTATTTCAACATGAAATGCTTTAAGCTCTTAACGATCTCTCTTAAAGGTCTATTTTTGGTTTTATTTTATTTTTATACTAGTTTTTTTTACCCGTGCCATGCACAAAGTTTTTTATTATATTTTTATAGTTTAAAATTTTAATTTAAATTAATTTTTATATTATATATAGATAAATAAAAATAATCATAATCATTTATAATTTATAATTTAAAATTAAAAAAATTATCGATATATAAATTATTATGAAAGAATCTAAATAAGTATTATGAAAATTTTAGATTATGAAAGTAAAATTATATACAAATATCATTGAGAAAGTTAATCTTTTATTCACAATTACATAAATTTTGTAAAAGTATATATTATTTTAGTATAAAAATTAAGATTTACACATGTGATATATCGTGAAAGATTTTTTTTTATTTAAGTTTGAAACTTTATCTTGTTAAACTTTTATGACAAAAAAAAATATTGATAGTGAAAAAAAATCATAAATATATATTTAATAATTATTTAATTTAAAAAATCTAAATTTTTAAAAATTTAGTTTATCCAAGTTTAATTTTAAATTAAAATAAAAGAAGTTAGTATAATTTTAAATTTAGATATGTGTGTAATTTTGAATTGAGATAAAATATTTTTTTATTTTAAATTATAAAAAAATAAAAAAAATTGATAAATAACAGTAATTCAATCACAAATTTTATTTATTTAAATTTATGTGAATATTAATTTAGATGGTATATAATTTTTTTATGATTTTTAAGATTTAAAAATTTAATTTTTAAAAACTATTTGAATTGGATAAGAGTGAAATATGAGAAGATATATTTTAGTAGATTTAAATTAAAAGCAATCTTATATATTTGGAAAGATTTTGATAAATGTAAATTTTAAAATTTTAAAATTTTTAAAAATTAAATAATTAATTTAATAAAATTATTTGAAAATATTTTACATGTTAATAATATAAATTGTCTACTTAAACATTCACATAGATAAATTTTATCAAATTTTTATATATGTTATAATATAATATTATATATGATGTGATTAGAGGATAGACATGAGTCATGCTTCTTAAAAAAAATTTTAACACCTTTACGTATATAGTACTCTTTCCTGTAAAATTTATTATTTAATCCCCTTTTCCGTTAAATTTATTATCTGATCCTCTTTCCTAAAACGATGATCAAATATGGAATGGATTGATAAGCCATGATTTTTAGTTAATTAATTCGTTTTAATCCTAAAATAGTTGATTAGTTACGCTTATTATCATAAGATCATCATTAATTATGTCAGTTTCACATCTTAACACAAAAAAAAAAAGGAAACTTTCATGAAAAACAACAAAAAAAAATCAAATTGGAAAAACTGTGGAAAACAAAAGCTGTTTAGTTTAATCAAGTACTGTTATCTTAATTTTTATCAAATATTATTAATAATGATGCTTAAACTTTAAATTAAAGATCAATTATAGACTTATGCAATGTGCAGTGAGCAAAAGGTTTTGAGACTGCAATAACATGAAAGAAATTTGTTAATTAACTTCATAAAATTTTTTTTTTAGATTAAGGTCAAAATTGCCACTGTATTATAAATAGTATTAAAAATTTACATTGTGCTTCAATTTCTTTGAACATTTTCTTGATTATTTTTGTTATAAAACTATAGAATTGATGAAAATTTATTATTTGCATTAATAGAATATTTTTATCCAAAAATAACGAAATTGAAATTATAATGATTATTAGATGAATTTTTAATGAAATATTTCAATTTTTTATTAAAAAAATTAAATTAAAAATATAATAATGACAAACTTAAAAAAAAATTAAGTCTCTATGTGATCATATCGGCCATGATGGAAGAACTAAAAATTGACACTTTAAGGGCATAAAAAGTCCATTAAAGGGCTAAATCACCAGCTCATTTGACCCTCATGTGAACCACAAGCCTTCTTTGTGGTCATATGAACAACCACATGAAAACTCAGTCAATCACTACATGAAAAATCGTGGCATAAGCCGTAACCCTTTCTAACAAAAACAAAGGAAAAACTCAGTAAATGGGATATTGGATATATGAATTTGAAAATAATGATGTGCTAATTGTTAAAGTTTGAGTGGCTGTGTCTTTATTTAATGACAGACAAATGAGTCAAAGCTTCACAGCTAGGATCTTCTTCTGGAAGTAGAACATGTGCTGATTGCAAAACCTTAGTTTAAGCTGTCATTTTCTGCTGTTTCACACGTAAACAACTGGCATTGCATCAACTCTCAGCTGTAATTATATCACTGTATTTCTTCTTCCTTCTGAATCACGCCAGCTCTTTTTTCCTCCGTTTATATTGACTTAACAAGCACGTACATGCAACCCATGTTTATTTTTTTAATTTCTTTCTTTCAAATTAAATCAACCCCAAATAATTCTGTTTTCCACTAATCATCTTTTTAATTGAAAAAAAGGAAAAAAAAAAGCAAAAGTCTTTCAGTGGGCTTAAAGTGTTCCACTACTTCAAATTGTCTTCTCCGAAAGGCTCTCTCTTTATCTGAGTCTTCCCTGTCTGTCACAGAACACAGATCTTGAACCAAAGTCAAGAACAAAAAAGTTTTAAATCCAAAAGAACATTTTTTCTTTGCAGCAAAGAAATGGCTAATCTTTTCTTGTTCGTTACTAGATCTTTCTTCAAGCTAGGTTCTTTCAGCGTTTTGCTTCTCTTTTTTCTATTTTGCTCGAGTTTCACTGCAACAGGTTTGTAAAATCTTTCTCTTTCTTTTTTTTTTTTTTAAATGTTTGCAAAGTTGGAATCTTTGGTTGGTTTCTTTCTTTTTTTTTTTTTAATTCTTTGATGAGTTTGGCAATATCGGGTTTCTTTAATTATATATAAGTTCTTTTATTTTTTTTAAAAATTTTTTTATGTTTATTTTAATGGCTTTTTGCTGGATTGCCTGGGATTTGGCTCTATAATTGTATATTTCAGTAAGGGCTAGGGATTTTCTGTGGAAAATTTGATTCTGTTTTTCAGTTCTTGAGAGAGCTTTACTTTGGTAAGTATGTAACTATTAACAGCATTTCCAGTTTATGATGAGATATAAAAATATGAAATGAAGAATAAAATTTTTTTTTTAATTATTGTCAAATAATTTTCGTTTTAGACTAATGAATTGCAAAGAAATATGATCTCTTTTATGAACAAGACAACTTGTGTAATGATTATGTCAAAGGCTGAGATTAACACAAGTTTTTGAGGCTGGTTTGCTAGTTACATCATGTCATCTGTACCTTATTTACCTATCATTATTGATTTAGCCAGAATATAAACTTTGTGAACCTTTGGTCCTTTTATTCTTTCTGACTAGTGATTATCTAATATTGCTTTCCTGCTTCATTTCTTAATGTAAGTTTGTTATTATCATAGTATAGGATTTGGTATTGGAAATGTATTTTTTTTCTTAGTTCTTTTTTTTTTTTTAACTCATGGTCAGAAGCGTATGATCCTCTGGACCCAAATGGAAATATCACAATCAAATGGGATATCATGAGCTGGACTCCTGATGGCTATGTGTAAGTATTGTTTCATTTTGTATTACTTAGTACATGCAGAAGTTTGTAGATGCAAGTTAAACTTTTGATAATTTAGCTATCTAGCATGGCTAGTACAAAGGAAGAAACCTAGAATCACTAGCTTTGTTGTTTTCAAAATTCTTTTACACTAATGCTGGTAACACTGGATTATCAATCAATAGGTAGAATTAAAACTTTTGTTTTCGTTTAGATAAACAAATGAAGAAACATGGTTTGCAGACCAGACATCGTTCTGCCTTAAGCTTGATGTACCTATTGTCCCTATTGGCTGAAAATGTGAGATTAACTTCTCAATTGAATGAGCAGGCAGTTGTCACAATCATAACTTCCAGCAATACCGCCATATCCAAGCACCAGGGTGGACATTAGGTTGGAAATGGGCCAAGAAGGAGGTGATTTGGAGCATGATGGGAGGGCAAACAACTGAACAAGGGGATTGTTCAAGATTCAAAGGGAACATACCACATTGCTGTAAGAAGGACCCAACAGTTGTGGATTTATTGCCAGGAACTCCTTATAATCAGCAGATTGCAAATTGCTGTAAAGGGGGGGTGCTAAACTCATGGGGGCAAGATCCAGCCACTGCAGGAAGCTCGTTCCAGTTGAGTGTGGGTCAAGCTGGAACCACGAATAAGACAGTTAGAGTTCCTAGGAACTTCACTTTGAAGGCACCAGGGCCTGGTTATACTTGTGGACCAGCAAAAATTGTGAAACCCAGTAGATTTGTTACTCCAGACAAAAGAAGAGTCACACAAGCTTTGAGTAAGTTACTTGATTAAGATGTAGAATGCCATATATTTATTCATATTCTTTTAGCTAATCCGCATGTCATGTCTTGTTTCTCAT